GGTTGACTTTTGCTCTACTGGCATTTAAACGGGAAACAATCTTCCTTAAAAATGACATTTCTGTTGACAAAAAATATTTTATCAGTCATGTCATATAACAAATACCCTTCTGGTGATATGCATATCTCATATGAATAGAAGGCTTTGATCTAGGCATTAGTTTATCATGTTGTTGAACTATTTTAGCATAGCATAGGCACCTTATAACCTTCAGATGCTGCACAGATGGCTTTCTGCCATATAACTTCTCATACGGAGTTTTATTTTCAATCACTGTGCTAGGTAATCTATTGATGAGGTAAACAATAGCTTGAATGCGATGTCCCTAAAATTTTATAGGAATACCAGCTTGGAACCTAATTGCTCTAGTTACCTCTAGGATATGTCTATGTTTACTCTCAGCTACCCTATTTTGTTGAGAGGTATATGGACATATTTTTTGATGAATTATTCCTAGATTCCTGAATACATCATTATAGATTGAATTAAAAACTTTGTCCCATTATCAGTTCTGGCCATTTTCACTGGTTATCAAACTGTGTTTTTACAAATGCAAAGAACTGTTGCACAACCATACATACATCAGACTTCAATTTTAGCAAAACTATCCATATCATTCTGGTGAATTCATCAACCACAGTTAGAAAATAATTATTGCCATCAATAGTAGGTATTTTATAAGTCCCCGATAGATCCATATAAATGAGCTCAAAACAAGTAGTAGTTCTAATGCTATTTATAGGAAAAGGTTGTCTTGTTTGTTTGGCATAGGGACATATACTACACTTATCTACTTTAGCAAATATTATTTCTACTTTTGCTGGGAGCATCTTCTTCAATACAGTAGGAGAGACATGGCCAAATCTTTTGTGTTAGAGGTCTATGTCATTTGAAGTGATCTCTTTATTGAACTCAAGTTCTTTTACTGCAAGGCTAATTGATTCATTTCCTTGTACTGGTTGTCTACTCAGAATGTATAACCCACTATCTTCTCTACCAATTGCTTTCACCCTTCCACTGAAGAGTTCCTGAAATATACAAAAATCAGAAAAGAAAGCAACTAAACATTTCAGCTTCTTGGTTACCTTAGAAACTGATAATAGATTGTATTTGAACTGAGGAATATAAAACACATTAGTTATAGTGATTTGGTCTATTATAGTGCTAGATCCTATATGAGTGAGCTGTGTTGTTTCTCCATTTGGTAGATATACCTTCTTTGGTTACCTTTTTTGAGCTATGGAAGCTTTGTTTAATAATTCTAAGTCAGCCACCATATGATTTGTAGCACTTGTATCTATTATCCATTCTTGCAAACTATTTGATGCTAGTAATGCACATGGTATACCTGCTGCATTTGCTGTAGGGGCATTTGTAGCAGTAGATGTTGTGTTGTTTTGTTCAGTAACTGATTATGTGATCATACTGCTCCTTGGTAAATGTACAGTTTCCTAAGTGAGGTAACATGCCTAATGAAGTGTTATGCATTTGTGTAGTTGAGTTTCCTCCTGAGTTGGTCATTTGAACATTTTGCAGATTTTCTGTCCAGCCCTGATTGACAATTTTTGGTGGCTGACTCTAGACCATAGTTTCAGACTACACATTGTAGGCAGTATATGATTACCATTTTTCTTTCTTGACCTGAAGCCTGATGGATATCCTACTATTTTGTAGTAGTTTTTCCTGCTATGGCCTTTTATTTTGCACACCTCACAATACAGATTGAAATTTTTCCTTATCTTATGATAATTTCCTCCATTTCTAGTATACATAGACACATCATATTGTCTTGTGGTAGTAGTAGGATTTGCCCCTAATAGTCCTGAACTTGCTGCAAAAGATTTTTGACTTTCATCACTAATAACCATAGCATATGCTTGGCTGACAGAAGGCATAGGACTCATTAGTAGAATTTGGCTTCTTGCTTGACTGTAAGAGTGATTAAGCCTCATCAAGAATTGGAACAGCTTAAGTTTTTGCAAATGAATCACAAAATCTTTTGACTTTGGGCAATCATATGTTGGTGTAGGAACTAAGGCTTCAAACTCTTCCCACAAGTCTTTAAGTTTTGAAAAATATACAGAAACTGAAGCAGTTCCTTAGCTTAGAGTGACAGTTTCTTTATGTAGATTATATGATCTAGAGCCATCTATTTTATCAAATCTATCATGTAGACCATTCCACATTACTTGTCACTTGAGGCATACATTATACCTCCAAGAAGACTAGTGGATACAGAATTCATTACCAAGACAATACTATAGCATGTACTCGTTCCCAATGATTCCACAAGGTTTCTGGAAAATTTTCTTTGGAACAAGTTCTATGAACCAATCCCAATTTATTTCTTCCTAACAAGTCCATTCTCATATATCTATACCATAGAGAGTAGTTTTCGATATATGTTAGTTGAAATAAGATAATTTGGATTCCACTCATATCAGATGGACTCAAGAATAAAGGATAATTGTAGTCAAATTTGGGGCAGGACCTAGCATAGCTCCTCCTAATTGATTTACAGTAGAATTGATCGGATTTTCTGGTATGGATTCTTCAATCACCATTGCTCAGAATCTTTGATTGAATTGTTAGATTGTAAAGACTATTTCTCAAATTGCAGAATTGTATGATCGAGTTTCAAGCTCTTAGAGGCTTGGTGCTCTGATACCATGAACCGATCTTGGGTTTCTTACCCAGATGAAGAATAGAGAGAGGGAGAGAGAGAGATGCTAGATCCAGTTTTAATGATGCAAATAATATACATATGCAGAAAATTAATTACAAGAAATCAAGAAGATACTACAAGATCGCTGAAGTCAATCTTGATGCCTAAGGAAGAACTTGCAAATCTGGATAACTAAGGAAAGAAGTCAATCAGCAAATCAATCAGTAAAGAGTAACGACCAGCTGCGATGGAGAGAATCAAGCAAGCCTAAACTTAAGGCATGAATCAAGGCCAACATCCCGGAAGATCGAAGATCCTGTAAAGATTGATACGCGACTAATTTCGGAAGAACCAACAATCAAGGAGCAAGTCTTCACTATATACATCTGCTGAAAGAAGGAAATCAAGGAAAAGCAACGGCTATCTATCTTATTCTTGGAAAGAAACAATCTCTTTCCAAGGATCAAATCTCTTGGGTTGTCAAGCCTCGACCTTCATCAAAGTATTTATACCCAGCCTTAACCTTAGCCAGACATACTCTGATCGAACCAAAAATCCCTCTCTTTGTTCTAATTCAAACAAACATTGTAGTTCACTAAGATCTGCTGTGTAACAAGTCAGAGAAAAAAAAAGAGTATAACACTGTTGAAGCATTGTACCAAAAAGAAATGAGTGCTAGAAAAACTGTGTTGTCAATTCATTTCAACTGTACTCGGAGAAACACATTTACTAAAGATAACTCCCTTGCAACCCAAGGGGACTGGACTAGGATTCACATTGAATCCAAACCAGTATAAAATCCCGGTGTCTTTAATTCTTGCATTTACTTTTTGCATCTTACTTTCTGTCATTATAAATATTAAGTTATTATATCTAGTCGATTACTCGATTAACTAGTCAACTAATAAGCGATTAAGTTTAAATATTTACAATTCACCCCCCCCCTGTACTTTCAATTGGTATCAGAGCTAGTCTCACATTTTACTTTTGCTTAACAGCTTGTGAGAAAAGATCATGGCAAATCAGGTTATCATAGGAGCTCTTTTTCAGGAAGGAACTTCACAAGTTAGACCACCATACTTCAATGGACAACATTTCTCTCANGCTTGTGAGAAAAGATTATGGCAAATCAAGTTATCATAGGAGCTCTCTTTTAGGAAGGAACTTCACAAGTTAGACCACCATACTTTAATGGATAATATTTCTCCTATTGGAATGTGCGAATGGAGATCTTTGCCAAAGCTTATGACGTCAAAGTCTGGAAAGTCATCAAAAAGGGAAACTATCCCTTACCAGCTGTCACTCCACTATTTGCTGATCCTGAAGATATAGATTCATATACAAAAGAGCAAATGGAAGTGGTACAGGTTAACAACAAAGCTAGAAATCTACTTCATAACGCTATAAGTGGTGAAGAATATGAGAAAATCTCAAGTTGTGACACAGCTAAAGAAATGTGGGACAAGCTTGAGGTCACTTATGAAGGAACAACAAAGTAAAGGAAACACATATCAACATGCTGGTCCATGATTACGAACTCTTCTCAATGAAAGAAGTAGAATCTATTGAAGAGATGTTTGTCAGGTTTAGCAAAATAATTAGTGATCTAAAGGCATTTAGCAAGCCTTACACCAGTGGTGATCTAGTTAGAAAAATTCTCAAGAGTTTGCCAACCACTTGGCAGACCAAAGTAGTCATATTAGAATCTCAAGATCTAAACAAATTATCCTATAATGATCTACGAGGAGAACTCATTGCTTTTGAAAAGACGCATCTCAAGAAGACCAATCAAGAATAAAAAAAGAAAATAGTTGCATTCAAAACTTCTATTGAAATAGCTGAAAACAAAATTGATGATGATCCTGAAGCTTTGCAAGAAGAGATTGTTATGCTATCAAAAAACATGGATGGATTGATAAGAAGATACAGGAACACAAAGAAAGGAAGAATTCTACCAAGATGATCCAGGCAATACAACAAACAGGATAAAAATGATGGAAAGTGCTATGAATGTGGAAGATTTGGGCATATTCAAGCTGAGTGCCCAAAACCTGAAGAGGAAGATCTCTAGAGGCTTCAACAAGAATAAATCCTTCGAAAGCTGGAGCGATGAGGATAATTCAGACCATGAAGAGATAGCAATCTCTACTTCATGACAATTCTGGAAAACGAAATGAACAAATCCTCAGGATGCTGGATAGACGAGGACATTTCAGATGACAAAAGAAAACTGTTTCATGGCACGAGGTGAAACCAGTGAGGTAAGATCTTATAACTATGAAAGATGCAATGAATTACAAGATATTCTTGATTTAACTTTAAAAAAGTCTCAAAAATGATGAATGAGCTTAAGAAACTCACTAAGGAAGTTAAAGACTGGAAACTCAAACATGAAGTATGTGAAATCGAAAAGGAAGTACTTCAAGAAGAGTTTGAGGAATTACAAATGCAACTCAATGGCATGTGCAAGTCCACCAGTCACATTTCTGTTAGGTCAAACCAGACGACTTATAGGTTAACTAGAAAAAGACCAACCAGAACCAAGTCGACTAGTATTAACACTAATGAAAGACCTAAAAATAGGTCAGAAGTTATGTGTCATTCTGTAACAAAAGTTGGCATAAATATTCTTTTTGTCGTTTTCGTAAAACAAACGTTTCAGGATGGGTTTGGAAACCAAAAAATTCTGAACCTGGTAACACTAACCCTCCAAGACCCAGGCAAGCTTGGGTACCTAAAAGAAAGTAATCATCTTGTTTCGCAGGAACACCACAGAATGAGCCGCAAAGGAAAATGGTATCTAGACAGTGCGTGTTCTAGTCATATGACAGGTGACAAAAACCTGTTCAAAGAAGTTACAAAAATTGATGGAGGAAGTGTTAAGTTTGGGGATGATTCAAAAGGCAAAATAATTGGTACTGGAACAATTCCCTTCAATAACAATTGTGACATCACTGAAGTTTATCTTGTCGATGGCCTCAACTATAATCTCTTGAGCATAAGTCAACTCTGCGACTCAGGATATGAGGTAAATTTTAAGAAAACAGGATGTGCTATTGAAGATGAATCAGATAAAATAGTCCTTCCTGGAAAAAGGTATGGAAATGTTTATATCCTTGATAGTTTTGAAAAGATAGATGGTCATATTTGTTTATCCTCTATGTCTGATGATCCATGGTTGTGGCATAGGAAACTTGGTCATGCTAGCATGCATTTGATAGAAAAATTGTCCAAACATGAGTTAGTTGTTGGTTTACCCAAACTGAAATTTTCTAGAACTCATATTTGTGATGCATGTCAAATGGGTAAGCAGACCAGAAACTCTTTCAAAAACAAAGATATAGTATCTACTTCAAAACCTTTACAATTACTTCATATGGATTTATTTGGACCTACTAGAACTACCAGTATAGAAGGAAAGAGGTATGCTTTTGTTACTATTAATGATTATTCACGTTTCACTTAGGTAATTTTCTTATCTCATAAGGATGAAGCATTAAGAAATTTTAAAGTTTTCTGCAAAAAGGTTGAAAGAGAAAAGGGATATCTGATTTCAACAATTCAGAGTGACCATGGAGGAGAATTTGAAAGCAGAGCATTTGAAGATTTTTGTAATGATCAGGGATACACCCATAATTTCTCTACACCACGCTCACTACAACAAAATGGGGTTATAGAAAGAAAGAACAAAACCCTCCAAGATATGGCAAGAACCATGTTACTAGAACATTCACTGCCAAACCACTTCTGAGCAGAAGGTGTAAGTACAACATGTCACATTCTCAGTTGTTGCCTCATAAGGACTATTCTAAAAAAGACTCCATATGAATTATGGAAAGGTAAACGTCCCAATATTAGTTACTTCCATCCCTTCAGAAGTAAATGTTTTATCTACAATAACGGTAAGGATAATCTTGGAAAGTTTGATCCAAGAAGTGACGAAGGTATTTTTCTGGGCTACTCATTAAATAGTAGATCTTTTAGAGTCTATAATAAATGCACATTATGTGTGGAAGAATCTGTACAGGTTATATTCGATGAAAATAATCCCTTGGTCGAGAAAGGAATTACTGCAGGTGATGAAGATCAAGCTCAGGAAACTCAGGAGATAAGAAAATCTCAAGAGTCGACTGATACATCTGTTGCGACAGAGTCAACTAGTGAAGATAGCAGCAATGTACCAGATCAACCAATCGAGTCAACTACGAATGTAGTTCGTCCAAATGAATGGAGAAGCGAACCTGAATATCCTCAAAAATTCATTATAGGGGATCCAAATGAAGGAATGAAAATCAAGGGAGCTCTTAAGAAGAAAGCAAATATTGCATTAATCTCTCAGATTGATCCAAAAAAGATAGAGGAAGCACTAAAAGATTCAAGCTGGGTGCAAGCTATGTAGGAAGAGTTAGATCAGTTCAGTAAGAATCAAATGTGGAATCTAATACCCAAACTTGATAATGTGTCTGTAATTGGGACAAAGTGGGTTTTTAGAAATAAATTGAACGAGGATGGAAAGGTCGTAAGAAATAAATCCAGACTAGTTGCTCAGGGCTACTCACAACAGGAAGGAGTCGACTATGATGAAACTTTCGCCCCAGTAGCTCGTATAGAATCCATACGAATTCTTCTAGCATACGCATCATTTAAAGGATTCAGGCTATTTCAAATGGATGTTAAAAGTGACTTTTTGAATGGATTTATCGAAGAAGAAGTATATGTGAAACAACCTACAGGATTTGTAGATTCAAAATTCCCATACCATGTGTACAAGCTCACTACGGCGCTGTATGGCTAAAACAAGCTCCACGTGCTTGGTATGATTGACTGAGTTCCTTTCTTATTGATCATGGCTTCACAAGAGGTAAAATAGATACTACCTTGTTCATTAAAAGATCATCAGGAGGTAACCTCATTATTCAAATTTATGTCGATGATATTATATTTGGTAGTGCTAACCCTCTCATGTGCAAGAAATTTTCAAATCTTATGCAAAGCGAATTCGAAATGAGTATGATGGGTGAACTAATGTTCTTCCTTGGACTACAAATTCAACAATCTGAAGAAGGAACCTTCGTATGTCAGACCAAATACACAAAAGAGTTGATTCAAAAATTTGGTATGAGCAATGCAAAATCCATTGGCACACCAATGAGCCCTTCCACAAATCTAGACAAAGACGAATAAGGTATTCCTGTTGATGAAACTAAATATCATGGAATGATTGGATCACTGTTGTACCTAAAGTAAGTTGACTGAATATTATGTTTAGCGTATGTAAATGTGCCAGGTTTCAGTCAGCTCCCAAGGAATCACATTTGACCGCCGTAAAAAGAATCATTCGATATCTCATTGGGACTGTATCTCATGGACTATGGTACCCTCGATCTAACTCTTTTAAATTAGAAGGTTTTTCATATGCTGACCTTGCAGGTGATAAGGACGGTAGAAAAAGCACAAGTGGTACATGTCAATTACTGGGAAAGGCATTGATATCCTGGAACAGTAAAAAAAACAAGCATCAGTCGCATTGTCTACTACTGAACCTGAATACATTGCTATTGGACAATGTTGCGCACAACTACTGTGGATGTCTCATCAACTGGGTGACTATGAACTTTCGTTTAAGCCTATACAAATTTTTGTGACAACTCTAGTGCTATTTGTCTTTCCAAAAATCCTGTGCATAATTCTAGAGCAAAGCATATAGATATCAAGTATCATTTTATTAGAGATCATGTTCTTAAGGGAGACATAGAAATATCTTTTGTTGGAACCACTGATCAGTTAGCTAATATTTTTACTAAACCTTTATTAGAAGAGAGATTTTGTGATTTAAGAAAATTACTTGGTATTACTTGGATTACTAATAACTCTTAGGACCTATGTGTACTATTAATTTTTTTTGCAATAATTGTCATTTACCCATGCATTAATTTCGCCTCCGTTTTTTCCTCTCTTTTCTCTTCTTTCACATCAGTTCATCGTTCAAAGTTGGAAAGTCAATCATCATGTCTCTTCAACTGACAACTTTTCCTTTTCTGTACTCAACCGTCAGAAACCCTCTTCTTAAGGCGGAGAACCCTTTTCAATCACTCTCATCTTTAGCTCCTCTCCAAAAGCTCCGATCAAACCCCTTCTCTACAATGGCCAAGCATCCCAGAAATCCCTCTGCCTCCACCAGAAAAAGCACATGTTCCAAAGCTAAACCCTCTTTTATGCCCCTAGAACAAGTAGACCTAGGGTCCGATCACTCTGAAGGTCTTGCCTCTTCCTAGGGAGATTTCTCTAAACACTTTCAACTCCTAGGAGAAAAAGCTTTAGGTAAGCGACCCATGGAAGAACCCCCTGTTTCGTCCACCCCAAAAAAATCCAAGGTTGATTTCTCTGCCTCTCTTGAATCTAACCTCAATTTCTGGGATTCCCCAAATAGGAATTTCTTCACTGCTCTGAAAGACAAGCCCATTGCTCATGGAAGGATTTTTGACCTTGACAACATGGAAGCCCTCAATTGCAAGGTCAAAGACCTTTTTGTTCATCAAGGTTGGGTTAAGTTCATCTCTATTCCTCCGTCTAAGGTATATGAATCCCTTGTAAAAATATTTTATGTAAATCTTCGTTCTAGTAAACCTGATAGGTTGGAATCTTTAGTGTTAGGTAAGCGCATTGTTCTTGACTGTGCCCTATTTGATTTGCTCTTTCAGTGTCGTTGTTATGGTTTTCCTATGCTGTTTAAAAATACCTGGCCTGATGACTTTGAAATTTCCTTTGACCAAGACAAACAGTGTATTGTTGAGTGTCCCTCTGACTCCCTTCCAAACCAGTTAGGTTTCAGTGATGTCAGTTTCGAAACTCAGGTTCTGGCCCACATTGTAGCAACTACTTTGCTTCCCCGTACTGGTTCCTTTTCAACCTTCTCTCAAAGATACTCCTTCTTCGTCTATTGCCTCGTGACCAAACTCAAAATCAAGCTTTCCTCCTAGGTTATCAATTTCATTATCAAAAGTGTTGAATATCCCACCAGTCTACCCTATGGCATGGCAATCACTCACATTCTGGAAGCTCATCAAATTTCCCTGTCCAACTATCCCTTCATCACTGTCTCTAAGTCTTACAATTCTAGAGCCTTTGCTAGTATGGGATATGTGAGTGTAAAGGGCTTCTGGGTTAAGAAGCACGATAGTGAAGCAAAGCATGACCCTATAGAGCCCAAACCTTAACCCTATGTCCCTCATCCCAGTCTTGACAGCCCTGATCTTGGTGACAAGCTTCGTGCTATTGACTCTCAACTCTCTGAAATCAAAAATCTTCTCACAGCCACTCAATCTACTGTCGGTGACATTCATGCCATTTCCAAGGAAACAGGGTCTGATGTAGGGGTGGGCATCGGTCAGTTCGGTTCGATTTTGAACATTATCGGTTTTGCCTATCGATTATCAGTTTACAAATATCATAAACTGATAACCAAACTGATAAGATATTGGTTATCGGTTAATCGATTATATATCGTTATCGGTTCGGTTATCGGTTTACCCGATAATATAAAACAACTAAAAAAATTTGCAATATATAAAACAAAGAAATCAAACTGCCAGAACGTGTAAACTGCCAACTTTTGTTGTTTCTTAACAAAAGCACGCTCCTACTTCTGTGCAGTATCTACTGATGTCTGGCGGAGAACTGGTGGTGAGTCTTGCGTCTTGACTCTTGGGGGCTGCGATGGAAACAAGAATGAGAACTGAGAGACAAACGACTGAAGAGTGAAGAGGGAATTAGGAAAATAAATAACCCTAGTATATACTTAAGGGTAAATTAGTAAATTACATAATTCTTATTGGGTTATCGGTTTTTACTCAATAACAAAAATGCAAACCGAGCTCGAACCGATAACCCAATAAAAAAAATTAACTCGTTACTGAACCGTTAACCCAATAACCCAATACCGATAACCCAATAAAGAATTAACAGTTCGGATTATCGGTTTTACCCGATATATGCCCACTACTAGTCTGATGTGTCCAAAATTAGAGTTGTTGTTCTCAGAGTTAGGGAGAATGATGTCAAAGCCTTCAGGGAGATTCATAACAGGTTGGATGGAGTGAGCATCTCAGTCAATGCAAGCTTTGAACAGTTGAAGGAGACCATCTGCAACACCCTTACTTATTTTCTGCGCTGTTAGTATGGTTGTTTTAAGATAATTTCTTTTGCTCTACTGGTTTTGGGCGGTGTTTTTAGCCTTTGGATAGTTTATACTTTTTTGTTGTGCTATTTTTGTGGGCTGTTTTCTCAATCATTGGTTGATTCCTATAACTCTCATGTTTATATGTTATATATTCTGTTTAGTTCTTGGCTTGTTCCTTCTTTGTTGATGCCAAAAAAAAGGGGAGAAAGAGTATATGTTATATCTGTACAGGTACAGTTTGTGGCAGGAGTCAACTCTACCATAGACTAGTCAACTGCATATATTGAGGGAGAGTATCATGGACTAGTCAACTGAATACATTGAGGTGGAGTAAAACACAGGGAAGTCAACTGGTGCTTACATTTATATATTATTTTCTCATCATCAAAAAGGGGGAGATTGTTAGATCCAGTTTTAGTGATGCAAATAATATAACATATGCAGGAAATCAATTACAAGGAATCAAGAAGATACTACAAGATCGCTGGAGTCAATCTTGATGCCTAAGGAAAGAACTCGCAAATCTGGATAACTAAGGAAAGAACTTAATCGGCAAATCAATCAGTAAAGAGTAACGGCCAGCTGCGATGGAGAGAATCAAGCAAGCCTAAACTTAAGGCATGAATCAAGGCCAGCATCACGGAAGATCGAAGATCCTGTAAAGATTGATACGTGACTAATTTCGGAAGAACCAACAATCAAGAAGTAAGTTTTCACTACATACATCTGCTAAAAGAAGGAAATCAAGGAAAAGCAACGGCTAGTTATCTTACTCTTAGAAAGAAATAATCTCTTTCCAAGGATCAAATCTCTTGGGTTGTCAAGCCTCGACCTTCATCAAAGTATTTATACCCAGCCTTAAACCTTAGTCAGACATACTCTGATCGAACCAAAAATCACTCTCTTTGTTCTACTGCAAACAAATATTGTAGTTCACTCAGATCTACTGTGTAACAAGTCAGAGAAAAAAAGAGAGTATAACACTGGTGAGGCATTGTATCAAAAAGAAACGAGTGCTAGAGAAACTATGCTGTCAATTCATTTCAACTGTACTCGGAGAAACACATTTACTAAAGATAACTCCCTTGCAACCCAAGGGGACTAGACTAGGATTCACATTGAATCTAAACCAGTATAAAATCCTGGTGTCTTTAATTCCTGCATTTACTTTCTGCATCTTACTTTCTGTCATTATAACTGTTAAGTTATTATATCTAGTT